ATCCACCTATACCATTTATCCCATATCTGGTGGAATTCCGATTCTTCTTTTCCCTGGATTTCTTTAGTTAGTTTGTCCATTTCAGCACAGAGCTTGTAGATCAGAAAGGTCAGCAGTTCGGCGTTTCAAATCCCTAGCGCCGCATAACCGAGTGAGCTCCCGTTACTTGTGCCAGCTTCTGCCAAACTAGAAGTTCGAAAGCACGTAGAAAATGCAAGTAGAAAAATAGGGACCATTTTGGTGGGAAGGTAACAGTGCTCCGTGCGCCTTCGACCTTGAGTCATGCAAGTCACACGGCAATGAAGACGTCTTCGGAGAGCGCTGGCCCTTCGGCTTTGAAACGGAGATGAGCACTGACCCTAGAGCCGGAAACGACTAGCACACATATGGGGGGAACCTTTACCTATAGCCTGGCAGAGTTTCTTTGCTGTCTTGAGAAATCCCTTTTCAAATAAGCTTGCCTGATGATGGTCAAACCCATGAGGGCTGAGGATGGAATAAGGAAACGGACTATAAATGAATTAATGAGCTCTCAGAGACACCTTTAAAAAGGATGAGGAAGAGGAAGATGGGGAAGAGGCAGAGTGAACTTACCGTTGCACCTCCTTATTCTTCCACAAGGAGGCAGACTGAGCCTTTGGCACTCGCTCTATAAAGTTGACCAATTCCTCCATAAGAAGCCTGAAAAGAGAAAAGGGCAGCTGAAAACCTCAAAATGAAAACACAGCCGGTTGAACTGACACACTAGAATAAGTTTCTGAGGGTTTTTCCAAACAGCTGAATCGTGCATGGTTTGATTTCTCAAATTGGACCAATTCTTCTTTGGAGAATGCTTCTCTGAATGAAGCATTCTTAACAGAGTGGATGAATATTTACCCTAATTGATCACCCAACACAAGACCAGCTGAGTGGGACTGCTGCAACAGAGGCAAATATGATTTTATGCTGCGTGGCAATATTAATTTATATAAAATAATTACTTTATCTCCCCCGGGTAAACTTTGTCAGGTATTCCATTTCAGGTTTTCAGAGCAGCTACACTGTGGCTTGTTTCATTAAGCTTTACTGCTATCACCCTGGCAGATTGGTTATAGAATTCGTCTGTTCTAGAAAAGGGAGCAGAGGCTGCCAGGAATAAGAGATCTCAGATGATCATTGAAGGATCAGAGTCTAATTCTTTTACCTGTTTCCTCCATTGATTAAATTAAGTGGAATTACTCCCATGGAACCATTGATGGATGCCAATGTTGATCTGTCAAATCACTACCCAACCATCAGCATTGTGACAGTACCAGTAAATTGCCCACTACAAAGCCCAGCTGTGAAAAATGATCCATCCTGAAACACTCTCTTACAAGAGATGAACTGGTCAGAGTACCGTCAGAGTACTAGCCATCAGCATTACTTATTATTGTTTTAATGTCGATTGGTTTTGTCCGTTGCAGCATGCTTGTTGCACTATCCATTCAACTTTAATTCTTTAAAGTTAGTTCTTTGTTTTGCCATATCCCCAAATCAGTGGTGGGTTTCAAAAAAATTTCGAACCTACTCTATGAGTGTGGCCTCCTTTGTGGGAGCGGCTTGCCGGCCATGTGACCTGGTGGGAGTGGCTTGCCGGCCATGTGTTTTCTCTCTCTCTCTCTCTCTCTCTCTCTCTCTCTCTCTCTCTCTCTCTCTCTCTCTCTCT